GCGTACCCTGACCTGCTGGCCACCAGCGGAGACTACCTGAGGATCTGGAGGGTAAGAGGACCAGTCTCACCTGAGCCCATGGACTCGTTTTGTCATAGAAAAACATTTCAGAGAACAACCAAGTGTATAGTGTATTTTACGTATATATCCACAGTAAAGGTTCAGAGTGAATCATGCATGGCCAGTGTCCAGCTCATTACTTCTGCTCTATATGCCAGAGCAGGAAACTTCAACGATGTATTGCTTGTGGTCTGTATGAACTAACTTAGATTCCCAAATAAAGACAATGTGTTTCTGCTGACAGGTGGGCGATACAGAGACCCGACTGGAGTGCCTGCTCAACAATAACAAGAACTCTGACTTCTGTGCACCACTCACATCCTTTGACTGGAACGAGGTGGACCCAAATCTGTTAGGTAAAAACTCAATGTAGATTTTTATGAAAAATACAAACTTTCCTGACAGTAGTCATTATTTGAAAATGACATTGTTTTCTGTGCAGGTACTTCTAGTATCGACACTACTTGTACAATCTGGGGACTGGAGACTGGGCAGGTGCTGGGCCGGGTCAACTTAGTGTCGGGTCATGTGAAGACGCAGCTTATTGCCCATGACAAAGAGGTAAATGTTATGAAATGATAGATCAAACCTTCAAGAATGTTTTGTTAATTAAAATGGTGCTTAAAGATAATCTTAACGTTTTCTATCTTCTATGTCAAAATCTTTTCACTCACTGATCACTGTGTGGTTGCTCTGCAGGTGTATGACATCTCTTTCAGCAGAGCAGGGGGGGGCAGGGACATGTTTGCCTCAGTGGGAGCGGACGGCTCGGTCCGCATGTTTGACCTTCGTCACCTCGAGCACAGCACTATCATCTATGAAGACCCGCAGCACCACCCGCTGCTCCGGCTCTGCTGGAACAAGCAGGACCCCAACTACCTGGTCACCATGGCCATGGACAGCATGGAGGTTAGTCTTTTTATTTGATTCTAATTAACCAGATAAGTAAATGTAGAACCAGTTCATATTTACAAAGTTTCAATAAATTAGCATCAATCTTGACACAGGGTACTTATGATATATTGTGGTTTGGATCCCTAAAGGTTTTTGGCTACTATGCATTCAAGGGTGGTTTTCACTATAAGTAATGGTTTTTTTTAGGCGGAGATTAGAATTTAAATGTGTTTACTATGTTCCATCTGAATTTACTCTGACACAGCAACATCTATATTGTATGCTGACACTTCTACAGCCAACTCACAGATGTATTCTTGCTTTGATAAAAACAATTATTCATATACCCCTTTTAGAAGTGAAGATATAGTCATTCATTCTGGGCATGTCATTTTCGAGCCTGAGGCCTGAACAATAGGCTCAGGGCTTAACAGGTTAAGTGCTACAAAACTGAAGCCTAGAAACTTCTCTTTGACTTTGTTATTGTACATCTGTATAAAAGCAAGAATTTAAGATGATATAAGATCATATTAAATAATAGTTTTTTCCTCATTTGTTAATAGTTTGCTTGTAAGCACGTACTGCATTTAAAAAGCCAAATTAATTTAATAGTTGAGAATCTCAATTTCTTTGGGTAGTGTTTAAACGTTTAACTAATAAATCTACTTAAATAAAGCTACTTTTTTACTACTTTGTCTTCATACTGAGGCTCTCTTTGTTTAACGACCATACATTTCTTGTTTCTTCTCTCTTTAGGTGGTGATCTTAGATGTGCGTGTGCCCTGTACTCCTGTGGCCAGACTCAACAACCACAGGGCCTGCGTCAATGGCATCGCCTGGGCGCCGCACTCCTCCTGTCACATCTGCACAGCAGGTATGCAGATTTAACACATAGTTTGCAATATTCACCCACACGTTTATTTGCAGTTTGAGGGCTTTGCCAATGAATTATTGCAATTACTGTCAATATGCACAAGGGGGAGCCGCTCTTACGCTATTTATGTTTACGCAACAACGCTTTGTGAGAGTAAATATACACGTTGGATAAAGGAATTTGTGGGAGATAGGTGTCCTTGCAATTTAGTGTAGTGTCCACCACCTTGTATTTGAAGTCCATCCCCACTAATAGCAGAAAAAAATCTACTTTGAGTTTGTTCAGGGTTAAGGAATCACTGAACAAACCTCTACATTGAGGCAGCTGTTCAGACATTCTTCTAGTAGCAGAATGGATCCACAGGATCTGATTGAACTCATACTGACAGAGAATTCCTTAAAATGGTGCCATATACCAGGATAATCTTGTCCAAAACAAGCCAGCCTACAGTGAAGCCAAATCAGACTGGGCCTGTATTACAAAACACTGCTGTGCTGTTTCGTAAATATGTGTTCCCTGATTTACATCTACTGATCTTCTTTTGATGTGTCCTGCTGAGAAAGAAAGTGTGATTTAAAACAAAAGTTATTTACCAGATTCAGGCCAGTAACGTGTATTGTTAGTTCTTCCTGTTTAAATAAGACAAATCAATTACAAATCAAACTTCCTCCCCTGCTCTCTGTCTAGCGGAGGACCACCAGGCTCTAATCTGGGACATCCAGCAGATGCCGCGGGCCATCGAGGACCCTATACTGGCCTACACAGCCGAGGGAGAGATCAATAACGTCCAGTGGGCCACCACCCAGCCCGACTGGATTGCTATCTGCTACAACAACTGCCTGGAAATCCTCCGAGTCTGAGCTCCAAGAAATGAGGCAAATCAAAAACACTCTCAGTTGGATTAACACACTGTTAAAGAAGGACAGAGCAATATTGAGTTTGTGCTCGCATTGGATTACTGTCGATACAGATTATGTGTGTAAAGCTTTTTCAACCGAGTGAGAACTAGAGTCTCTCTGCGCTTGTCTTTTTGATACAATATCAAGATGTCCTGTATCAGAAAACTCAGGAGCACCAAAACAGAAATGGTAACAAAGTCTCAAGAAACTGTTGTCATGTGCAGACATGAACAAAGGTCCAAAACCTTCTAGCGTCAGCATGTTTTCTCACAGACAAAAAGGCTAGTCAGTTTCATGTTTTTATATGTTACACGGGGCATTGTTTGAGTACTCTTACTACCCTCAACCATTCATTTTCATTATGCAGCAAAATGTAGTTTAGCCACATTTAAAAGTGGATTGAATGTGGTTAATGTGTTTTTAAGTGTTCATATATTCAGTAGTTTTTTTTTTAAACCTATAAATACTTATTTTATTCAACTGAATATCATTTGCGATATGAAGAACATCTCTGTTATACATACATTATATGTGCAACAATTTACTAGTATTGACCATAACACATGTTTGTTTTTGTGCACCACTTATTTTATTTTTATCACAATTTTATTTTATACATGAATAAACCGTCCCTCACAGTTTAAACCATTATACAGCATTTTTGTAGACACAAACCTTTTCACAGTGAGCTGTCAATCATCAACATAATGGTGATAATCTATAGTACAGATTTACAGTTAGAAAAGGTTTCACTGTACAAAACTGAGAGAAACACTGCCTGAAATACATCAACCAACATCTTTACACTAGAGAATCCTACATTTTTGTCCAACAGCCTAGAAAACTGACATTGTATAACAAATGCTGTGAGTCCTGTTGTGATATTAAGTTCTGTTGTGATATTTGGGGTTGGGAGGAGATGTGAAGACGTGGGAGTGAACAGGAGTTATTTCTTACTTGTTGTAGGTATTTCAGTACGGGGTCATGATGTGTGATTATTTGCTCAACATAAAGTCAGAAAACACATTTTTCACGATTCATTTTCACTGATCAGATCGCATTTTGAAATTGTTCTGCAATGTAATATTCAAAATGAATGGATACTTAGCAAATATGTTGATGAGATATTATTGAAAATGTATATCACCACAGAAATGATCAGATTTATTTTAAGCAACAGTTTGACATTTCTGGACAAGCTTTTATATATTTTTCAAGGAGACCTAGATGGGAGGATTAATACCACTTCCTAGTTCAGCTTATCTCAAAGTCTGAAAACAGGGAAACAGCTTGCCTGCAGGGTGTTATGTGCTGTTCTATTTCTGGAGCACAATGTCTTTAAATGAAAGCGGTTCGTAGCAATAGCTCCAAACACTCAAAATCTTGAGGAAAAAAAGGTTGGCAAAGCATGTCCACTTAAGCCTCCCTCAAAAGCCACTCACCCAAAATGATCATCATGAACGTAAAAATGAAACATGGCTTATGTTAGTACTCACAGACATCGAGCTAGAAGTTTGTGGAAGTCTCCAGTAACGTGCAATGAGTACACGGGCATGCAGGTAGGTAGACAAGTAGGTCAACTAATCAAAGGCCTGCACACCCACAGATATGAGATTTGTATACTTTTTATATTTTATTTATTAACTGCTGTCAGAGTGTAAAGAGTACTTTAAAGTTCCCCTATTATACTGTTTTTCATCAATATATTATAGGTCTCAGATATACACAAAACATGTCTCTGAAGTGTTTGGCTCCAAATACCAAACAGATCATTGTAGCATCCCATAACCCCCTCTGTTTCAGCCCTGTTTCAAAAGTGCTGATTCTCTGTCTGTTACTTTAGATGAAAATAAGGAGCCCCTCCCCACACCCCTCTGAGAGATATTTAGTTCAAAAGAACACAATGGTGCTCTAGGAGGAGATTCAGGTGATAGGGAGGGGGGTTACCTTGGTTGGTGATTGGCTAATGGTAAAACAAGCCAAAACATCGTTATGACATAAAGTGGCCAAAATCTGATCAGCTCATTTTCAGACAGGTTTTTATATAAATGGATCAGGACGAAAAGAGAGCGAATCTTTTTTCCTGAAACTTTCAGAATCTCTTTGCACAGAGGGGACACATGTTTACGTATACAAGACATGAAAAAGTGGATTTTGCATAATAGGTGACCTTTAACAAATACACAATCATGTTTTCTTAAATAGCTTTAAGAAGCAGTGTCATTACTTTCAAAGTCACACTGGTTGCCTCAAAATCTCATCTCTGGAGCTCCTCAGGTGACGGGCAGCACAGGGTCTGAGAGGTGTTTCTGGATGCCAGCCAGTCCCGAGGTCATGTCCAGGTTCCCCGGCAGCGAGGGGTAGCGGAGGCTGCCGCACAGCCCGGGGCTCTCCAGCAGGGAGGATTTGACTGACGGCTGCTGCGGAGACAACCCTGCGTTGGTCTCACTTTCAGGGGTGACGGTCATGAACATGGTGTCGTCTGAAGCCACAGTCACATGGATGCCGCTGGACAGGGACTCCTGGGACCTCTTGGTGAATTGAAGGTCAGTCTGGGTAATGCTCTGGAGTAAAGAAATCACCTTTTTTAATTTAGCTTCTTAGCCCTTGTACCTCACCAGGGAGATTTTTGCCTTAATATTTTTCAATTGCTTTGGAAAAAGCTAGTTTTTAAAGACCGGCAGACAGAGGACGGTTAGCTCTTGGAAAAAATAAAAGTTTTTTTTATGAGAATATTTTCATAAAATCATTTAATTTCGGTCAAAATCAATGAAAAAAGGTGTGACACTAAAGACACGTCTATTATAATTATTCTTACCATAGTTTTCACTTATTTGGGCAAGTCAGGTTTATTGATGGTCCCTAAGTGAACCCCTGTGGTTAAGAGAATGGACTCGGATGTGAGCTAAAGGTCTAATGAATATTTATTAGTTTTTAATGAAGACTAAATCTGGTTAGGGATATCTCATTCAAAGTAAAGAACAAGAGTTTAATAAAATACGAGGAACAAATCTCCGTTGTTATTAGCAGTATTAGAAGTAAAGCATAATTCCCTACCTGTGCGGGGGCCCGGCTGTCGATCTGTAGGGCGGGGGAGGGGTACATGCTGTGCAGCACTGGGGTCCCAGCCCCATACAGGCCAGGTTCATCAGTGGGGAGTGCACCAGACGATACGCTGCTGTAGGCGGGAGGAACAGGAGCCATCTGCCTCTGGAGCAGCTGGAGAATAACATTGATGTCGGCTGTCATGCGAGTCTCCAGTCTGGGGAATTGAGAGACAATCAGAATGGCAGAGGTCAATAAGTGAAGGAACTATCCAATAATCTTATTTGCTTCAACTGGAATGGGGAAATGAAATGAGAAACATTCGATTTTTGAGCATTGGAATTTGAACACATTTTCAGATAATTTCTTTATTTGTATATCTAACTGATTGCCTCCTCTATTATTTCCTTGAAAACCAGCCAAAGGCCTCCCTTGAATTCACCTGTTGAGCTGTGAATGTAAAACCTCAAGTCGAGACTCCAGCTCACTGGGCCGATCTTCTGTGAACGGTGGTGGGTGGTATGAGTTTCGGACAGATGAAGATCGCCAAGTGCGACTGGAAAACTGTTGTGGCGGTCGTTCTGGCCAGCCCTGATACGTTCCTGGCACATTCAAAGATGTAGCTAAGGCAAATATAAAGACAGGTTTACCCATTTAGGTTGTATTACAGTAATGATAGTCCAAAATATTCACTATGCAACATCAGCGCATGTTGTTAATTATAGCGTGTGTGTTTAAATTAAGACACATATCTACCTTGGTCCAACACTGGCTCCCTCTCCAGTGAGGTGCTACTTGGGGGGATCAGCTGCACTGCAGAGGGGGGGAAGTCCACTCTGGCATCTTGTGGAGGGGATAGCTCAACTTTGGCACTGTGGGCGAGCGGCGTAGCCAAGTCTTCACTAGACTGGGAACACGGGGATTCACAGCTACAGTTGTCATCCCAGTGGGCCCGAGGAGGGGACTGGCGATTGTGCAAGGACTGATGGGGGTATGAGTCCTCATGATCGATTCCATCTGTTCACAGGAAGGCATCAACATTTAACACTTTTAAACGTAATGTAATATTATCTCATAAGTCCAAGTTATCGGTAGAAGGCAGTTATTTACCAGGGTAGAGAGGAATTTCGATTTTGAAAGGCTTACAACACTGATTACCAAGAAGAGCCTTGTATCCAAAGAATTGGCAGTTGGTTTGTGAGATAATTGTGTTCTCCTTTACGCGTCTCACCTGGCCTTATTCTGCAGTCCAGGGAGTGGTTTCTATGTCTTAGCTTGTGTCGACACCCGTAATCGTCACCAGAATCATCAGTTGTTATTATTGGTGGAACTTGATCGGCCTGATGAACATAGAAGGAAAAACAGTTCACCTGTTTATTTGGCTTTACCGGCCTAAAACAGTAATCAGAATTCAAATATGGAAACCAACAACAACATACATCTCTCAGGTCAAATGTTATCTCCAGGTTCTTCCAGAAGTTGTCTGCGAAGCCGGGGTAGATATCGAGGACCTCCAGCAGGTCTTCCCTCCGGACACGGTGCAGGTCACAGTATGTGATGGTGTGTACGTCTGCTTTGGACTTCCCTGGCTCATCGTACAGGTTGATAGGCTCTCCAAACACGTCATTCTTTTCTGCAAGAGCATGAATATTTGTATGAGATAGTCATGATGTTTTTCAAACATTTTTGAGAGACTGCAGGCAAAACAACTAAGGCTTGTTACCTAATATTCCGACCACCACATCATCCCTGATGACTTGGATTGAACCGCGTGCGATGAAGAAGAGAGAGTCCAGCATGTCTCCATAGTGGATCAGAATATCTCCTGGAGGAGCGTGGACTGTCTTGAACCTCATACTCAAGGTGCGCAGAAAGGCCTGACTGCCTCCATGGAAAGCCGTACAGTTCTCTAGCAGAGATCTGTTCAAGTGCAAACAGATGTCTGCCTGCAGCGAGCCTGGTAATCCCTTCATCACCTGAAAACAGAAAGACAAGACCAACAGTATATTAGTGAGATGCAAAAGAGGGATATTAAACAACCTCAACCAAGTTGGACTTTTAAGAATACCAGAACACTCAGTCTTGTAACTTTTTACTTACACCATTCATGTCAATGCCATTTGTGTAGGACCAGGCGTGTTGGAAGTGCTCCTCCAGCCTTTGGCGAAGGCATCCTGGGATTTGGTGGAATCGGATGAACTCTTTGACTCGCAGCATCTGGGTGTGGTAGCGGGTTGTACCAGAGTACAGACGCTGGATGATGGCTGACACATTCCCAAATATGCTGGCATACATAAGAGCTGAGAAAGAAAAATAAATTGGGAAACAGATCATAAGGATTCAGTGATTGTGGGACTTTAGTAAGAATATCTGTTAAAAATTCAATGAAGATGTTGGGACTGTACAAAAAGTGCAAAGGTGGATGGGCTTTCATAAATTCCTCATTTTTTGAGACATTTACAAAAGGTAATTGTAGTTGTAGGGTAAAACCCAAATACATCCTAATTAATGATGGGAGATTTCAGACTCCATTGTTACCCTTATCATTTCTGTACAGTCCCTTACAGTGATTTCAACTTACAGCCAATAACCATGACGCATATGGAGAAGATCTTCTCAGAGTTGGTGTTTGGAGAGACGTTACCAAACCCCACGCTGGTCAAACTGCTCAACGTGAAGTAAAGAGCCGTGACGTACTTGTCTTTGACGGAAGGACCCGAGCCGGTGTCAGTATCGTTGTATGACTTGCCCAGTTGTTCAGCCAGGTTGTCCAGCCATCCGGTCTCAGTGTACGGCCTCTCCACAAAGCCAATAGCGTACCAAATACAGGCGAGCCAATGGGCAATAAGCACAAAGGTGCACATGAGCAGGAACAGGACAGCAGCCCCGTATTCAGAATATCTGTCCAGCTTTCTTGCCACGCGGACCAATCGCAGCAGTCGAGCTGTTTTCAGCAGGCTTGTTAGGGTTGCCATCTTTGGTGTCCATTAACGACAGGGAAGAGGGTGTTAGGCAGGAAAACGGCCATTCAAATTACAGTTACTTTAGATAACTAATTGAGGAAGAAGTTAAAACATTTGAGGAAAGAACAATTAAATCTGAGTATAACTTCATTTTATAATCAATAGAGTGCTGAAAGAGTCCTAAAAGCTTGAGTTGGTATTTTATTTCAATTCCTGTTCCCTTGTCCATACGTTTTTTTGTATGGGTTTTTGGTTAGATAGCTCAAGCTTTAGAGATATTAACATTGTTCTACAACATTAAATGCCTCAATAAATACACTATTTGTTATTCTTGAAGCTTTTACTTGAACTTAAAAAGGCAATAGCTAACAAGCGGCTAAATGAGACCACAGATGTTGTCTGGGACATTTAACATCAGTGGTCTAATGTTGATCTTGTAACCGTGGTGTGGTTTACATTAGATTGTTATGAAGATGATCTTGTGTAAGTATCAAACATTGAGCTGAATTTTGCAATAATCTGAAAGATAATGAACAAATCATTGTTTTGCTTTCAGTCAAGGGAACCAAGGTGGTGCCAACTTCAAGATTGGCCTACAAAACGACATCATCCCTGCAGCACTCTATACAAACAATGTTAACTTGGGTTCTTCTGGAAAAATGATATAATATAATCTGCAGAGAGGCAGATCTCTTACCTCGTCAGAGCCAGATCTGAAAATGAGAAGGTCGAAAGGGATCGCTGCGAACAGATCAATGGGGAACCAGCCTTTGATATAGTGCTTGGCTATCCGGCTCGGCTGTGTGATCACTTCGTCGTTGCGGTTCACGTAAGTTGTGCGAAGGTTGATGACGATATCCACAATAAATAGCACGTCCACCAAAAGGTCTGCCACGTTCAGAGGGTTGCATGTGTAGCCGCAAGTATGACTCCTTTGACGTATATCCCCATGTTCATCCAAGAGAAAGGTGGCCGAGTAGGGAGTGAAAACAGCTGTGTAGAGAACCAGGAGGAGAATAATCCAGTCCCAAAACGCCTTGAACGGGCTGTAGTGTAGCAAGATCAACCATGTTGTCTCTGGCACCTGGAGTTTGTATTCGGGCAGCACATCGGACTCCAAAGAAAGAACCTAAATATAAAGAATGCATCAGTATGCAAATGTTTCAATGTTCCCTTCCATCATATTTCTTCTATAGTGAAATCTGAACTATAGATGTTTAGGAGCATTTGAATGCATTTTAGAAAGACAATTTGTTCTCCCAGAAGCCAAATGAACACTTTTATTACATTACAAATATAGCTTTTCACTTTGACACCAAGCAAAACAAGTACATTCTGTGAACTAATATTAAACAAAATACCTTTCTAGAAGACACACTGCGACCATGTAGGTCCAACAAATTCCCAACAGAGGCGTGACTTGAGTAACGTTTTCCCCCCAGATCATACAATTATTTCCAGATAGTTAAAAAGCTAAAAGATCTTGTGGTCTGTAATCCACTATGCAGGATCTGACTGAGTGCCGGATACTGGTGAGCTGGGGGGGGGGGGCTGGAATGATGAGTTGGGCGTCACACGACAGAGTTCATGTGCTGCCACGCTCCTCATGCTCTCTTTAGCCCAATTTAAACTTAACATTGGAAGCCCTGACAAATGTCACACTCATTGCAGACAGACAGTTGTATTTACCAGGTGCACAGATAAATAGTTTGATATAGAAAGATGGAAAATGTTAGGTTTTAGCAAGTGACCCCGTGCAGCAAGGTCACAAAGTGTCGACAGTTGTAGTTCATCACATAGCTTCCCAAAGAGGCAGTGATGCAGAATGCCGAGCCTCAGGGCTCCAACAGCGACAACAATAGGTCTGAATTGAACCGGTGCTCAATTAACTTTGCTTTTCACACCCAGAAGGAAAACACCCAGCCACCAAACCACATACTGATTTTTCCACTAGCGGGTTAATTAGTGTCAATCTTTCATCATGGCAACTTTCTGAAAGCCTCAAAACACGATTAATATGATCTCCTTAATGACGGCGTTAACCTGGCAAGCAGTGAATGCATCTGTGACGTCCTTTCTTGCTCCGTACCTGTGTGACCTTCTCCGTGACGTTCTGTGAGCAGTCCTTCACCTTGGAGGGGCTGAGCAGCTCTATCCTGGGGGTCGGAGGCGAGCGGCACTCAGGGCCCCTGCTGGCTGGACCCCCACTCATCTTAAGGTCTGAGTCAGACATGGAGCTCTACTGGAATACAGGTGAGCAGAAAACACGTTTATATTCAGGCCAAAGTGAACCAAAAGATTATTTGTGCAGATGTTTTGCTTCTGTTTACTTCTGATAGTATAACATATCATTTTTCACTTCATTATTCTATTATTTATTATTTTCCAATTTCCCTGGAAAATGTCAAGCAAAACAAGTGACTCAGTGATGTTTAATATTCCGTAACGCCCTTAACAAATTAATCTCAGCTCGATTTCCCAGAATGCCCATCTAGCTGTGCCCCTCCCAAAACACTTCTGCCCTTTAACACTAGATTGATAGATATACTTTATTGATTCCAAATTAGGGAACAAATGTGTTAGACAGTCTCAATACTTGACTCACAGAGTGTTACTGCGTAGAGAAGGCACGGTTACATAGTGGAAAAATCGCTATCAAATCTTCAACAAAGCTTAATTTCATTGGAAGTAATATAACGTACCTGATTAGAAACCAGAATGTCAGATCCTTCTTGGACTTAGACAACCATGACTCAGATATCCACACTTCAGGACACTTTCTGGACAAAGTGTTATCGAAAACCTTCACTCTCTTCCTTCATAGTTCATATTTAGGCAAAAATAAATGAACTTCTGTCATTCAGACGTCAATGTTGAACCCTCCACTCGGGCACAGGGCAGAGGACTGGCCTGCAGCTCGCATGTTGCCGCGCGACACTCACCAACACAGGAAACGAATCAATGCCATGCTATAGCTGAGAGGAACTGAGGGGGAAATCAATGATGAGCATTGATAAACAGAGCAAATGGGCTCAGTGCCATTATGCTGGACTTCCCCGCTAAAACCAAATCACGATTTTAGTGTTCTTGTATGCAGTTTGGCTGTGTAGATCTAAAATATAGGTTGTGACGTACATCACACTGCTGCAAACAACAAAATCGGCCAGCTAAATGTATGGAGCTGGCTCAATATATCACATACATACTGTTAATGTGGGGTCTTATTGACAGTTATTTGTGGGGTTAATGACCTGTTATGACACTGGCTCAAAACGTCCTTCAGTTGTAACCTTCAGCCATATACTCTATATACATAAATACGTGTATTATGTGTTACTTCCCTTTGAAATGTGAGCTTCAGTGTGAAGAATGATGTCTCTACAAAGGTTTTTTTACATGAATTAGCTGAAGAGGAAAAATGTCTCCATGCTTTCATCTCATAATGTATTGTATACGTACAACATGATTTTGTGACTGAACATAACATTTATTATCACGGCCAAATATTTGATGTGTAAACTTGAATCCTCCAGACTCGAGCATATACCCTGATAATTGACTTTTCAGTAAAGATGACCTTTTATTGAATTGAACAGTTAAACTTTGTCATTGAAAAATATTTGCATATTCATAGATTATGTAGGAAAACGAGTAGATGTCATTTTAAATACTTTTAAAGAGGCTATTGTACTGTAGTGTACTGTGTATTTCATTGTGTCTCGATGGTATCTTTAACAGAAAAAACAAATATTAAATTGATCCATGTCAATACATAAACGTTTCTTCCATATTCAATGAATAAAAGTTACATTTGATTTTGGTAAAACGTTTAATCTTCTCCAGCATCCCATGAATGATGAGCTAAAGAAAAGGGACGTGAATGTGGTTATCAATACTTACTGTATTACAAACTTTTAAATACAGCACTGACTAGAATAAAATTAATTAAAATGCAGACGTCTTTTGGCACCGTCTGGTAATGATACTCTATTAATTTCAATCTTTTGAGAGAATATATTAAAGAAATGTCCATTTAAGTATACATCATGAAAAGGACCACAATTTTCTTCCGCTTATAGTTCCTCACAGACAAGCGGTACAGGTTTTTTCTATTTCTAAATATAATATCCAACATATGCGATATTCAGCGTCCACAAAATGTCCCGGATACGTCCTCAGCTGTCAGCCTGGATGTTGTCCCAGACTTGAATTACATCTGGACAGTCACTGAGGGCTTCTACTAGCATTAAAGTCGCCTCCAGCTGATCTTCACTCAGAGACAAAGATACGCGTGGTACAAACTCCAACCCAACAGACGCGATCTCCAATCCAAGCTTCCCCAGTGAGGCCCGCACCTTACTGGTTTCCACCACGTCACAGATAAACTGAGAACAGAGAAACAAATCACAGTATTAGTTAAACTGTGGTTGGGCTGCAATTTACTATTATAGTTCTCATCAACATTGTGTCTTTAAATGTGAGAAAATAGTGTCTTTAATAATTTCCAAATCCCAAGGTTAGGACAGCATTTGATCTGATGAACAGTCAAAAACACAAGATGGATATGCATTAAAATCATTTAATAAAGAGAAAATACATTTTGTTATGGCACTTTTTCTTTATGGGACTGAATATTTCCATTGTTCCCTCATATTTCTGGACTGCTCTCCTTAGAAACATGTCTGACCTTCAGGATGGGCTGCTCCTCCTCATCCTCGCTCTCTTGGACATCTTCGGCTCCCGCCTCGATGGCCAGCTCCAGAGCTCTGTCTGTGGAGACGTTCTGACCCGGGACCACCACCACCCCCTTCCTGATGAAGTTGTTGCGCACTCCGTCTGAAATCATCCCTCTGTGGGTGAGTAGTGGGAGAAAACATAAGACTACATTAAACTTCATGAGGCTATATTTGATTGAAATACATAAACCACATATGGGTTTGTATTAGGTACGTTTTTAGTTTAAAAGCTGTATTTTTCTCATTGTTTTGTTTATATTCTTAGCCCAGTAGCCACTAGGGACATCTAGTGGCTACTGACCAGTGGTGGAAGTGGTATTAATACTATTGTCCTTAATACTCCAATACAAGTACAAAGTTCAGCAAAATGTTTTTTAACTATCAACATTAAAATACTCCCTGTAGAATGTTTTCACAGTATAGTGTTATAAAGTGTAATCCTTTGCTTTTATCGCCTTGAAATATTGTGACATGTAATGTCATTTCAATGTTGTAGTGTGCAGAATGTTGTAGTGTGCAATTCGTAGTACAGAACTGCTTCATATCATATAAGCATATTATACCTGTTCTTTGAGAGCAGCCGTTTGATTTCATGGTTGGTGCCTGTGCGGTTGTAAGTCAGCACCTCGACGAGCAGCATGCACCCCCCCGGCCCCCGAACTTCATAAGTGAGCTGCGACCCTGGTTTGGCCTTTTCCAGTCAAGCCAAGGAAAAATACATGAATGAGTTAATCGCAGCATTTTATATCATAACAATAGCATTTTCATGATATGTTCTATACTGGATAAGTCACACGTCTGTAGACAGGTAACAAATAAGGAAACATTTGTTGTCCTCTTTGCCAAGTAGCATTGATGCTGTTAAAGGTGGGGTAGGTCATTTTGGAGAAACCAGCTGGAGTGCGCTAGATTTGAAAATACACAGCCGGAAAAAATCTGCCACTTCCTTACAGAGCCCCTCCTCCAACACACACGAACGCGCACATGACCAATGAGATAGGTTTGTGCACAGATGGAAGGCTGACAGGCAGGTAGGCCATCCAGTTATTTTAGCCGGGCCGGCTAAAATAACTGGTCGTACTTTTTACAGTACTACGGCTTCCACAGATGACATTTTTTTATGGATTTTTTGTCAAAGCACTTAAGATATTCATTGCTATCGGGATGTTAAGAGCATTCCATGGAATATAACAAAAAGTGTATCTTGAGCCGGTTTCTCAAACTTACCTACCCCACATTTAAGTATAAAGGACTTAAGCCGCTATTATAATAGTAATAATATGTTTTTAATTATTATAGCACACTTAGTCTATTAAGATATTTTTTCCATATTTATTTTGTCATTCATTCATTATATTTGCTTTAGTCTAGGTCTGTAAGTGGTGGCTCAACCTCTCATTAAGAAATGGTATTTTGTTTAGTTTTTTCATTCATTTTCACCCATTGTCCACCTACCGCAGTCTTGATGGCGGACTCTATGGATGTTTTGGGCATGTTCTTTCTTCTGCACTGCTCCAGCACGTTGGCTAAATTTATATTCATCCCTGGGTTGCTTCCCCCTTCTGCAGATTAAACCAACATTACAATGAGCCGACATGAAACGCTCCGAAATGTATATGCAATATCTTATTGTCTTTAAGACTCTTGAAGATCTTACCTTTCACAGCTACCTTTATCAGTAAAGCAAACTTCATGAACATCTTGCACCTCGCCACATCTTTAGGTCCCTTGATGTTTTTCACCTTTGACCACTTGTTGTGTCCTGCACAGAGGGCGGAGCACACCTGCAGCGACCGGGCAGGAGAGCTCCTCCACGGCGGGTAAAGCACACATGAAGCCGGGAAGAGGACGCACTCCCCCGGGTCCAGAAACCTGCCTGAGGTCGCTAGTGTCCGGGGGCGCAAGATCCGGAGAGACCTCAGCACTGCCGCCCCCGCCATGCCCTTCAGAGTGGATACAGTGTTACAGTAACCTGCTGTACATGTGGAGGGAGACAATACTACGAGCCTCCGTCTGCAGGTGAGGCCTTTAATTTCAGAAACCTGTAACTTTCACATCATTAAATAAATGTAAAAGCCTTAAGTTTTCCAAACGTACAGTTTTGACAAGTCGGCTGAACACGCAGCTGCTGCTGTCCTTGTTATGAGACCGGTTACTTCCTGGTTGTGACGTCACAACGTGACGTTAGAAATGGTCTCTTCAAAATAAAAGCGACATAAGGAAATGGACAGTTCACTACAAAAATGAAAACAATACAAGATAATGTATTGAATAAAAATGTTTCTTTCTACCAAACTACACCTGCCAGGCATACCATCATTATATATCACAGCTGGTAAAGGTGGAACTACTTTGAATGACTTTATCTCTACTGTTCCTGTGTATCTCCACCTAAAATAACATGTCTATTTAATAATAAATATATTTGTTTGTATAAGCTAATCATTTGAATATAAAGTAACTTGTTATGGAGTATAAAGGTACAATATTGGCTTCTAAAATGCAGTGGATTAGAAGAATGAAGTAGCATAAAAGGAAATAATCAGGTAAAGCAGACATTTACATTAAATTAAGTACAGCACTTGCGTATATGTACTTAGTTACATCAGTATGTTTGTTCATGTCAAATATTCACAGACCTTGCTGGTTCCTCATCTAATGAATACCATGCATACTAAATACTTATACTGTTTATTGTCATTTACATTCTCCAATATAGTTGTATATTCCTGGGTCATTGTAAGGAGTGCTGAATGAGAAAAATGTTGAATAACTCGTAAACCATGGGAACCTAAAATCTCTTAGAGGGCCCCTGGGTGTTTCTGGTTGACATTGGGAACATTTATATATATAAGCACACATGTTAAACCACAACTGATCCCAAAAATAAGCCAAATTATTATTTATGATTCCCTTATCATTTGTGTATTCATTATATCTGATTGTATCAGCGAGGTTAGTTCTAGAGATGATAGGTTAATTGGCACAAACAGTAAGCAGTGTGAGTCTGGTCTGTATCATTGTCCTTCTAAAATGTCCGAGCGTGAGAACTGGAAAATAAATGTTGGACTCTTGGCATGGGACCAACGTTTATCAAATCATACTGCTTCTATTTATGATAAAGGGACATAATAATAATAATAATAATAATAATAATAATAATAATAATAATAATAATAATAATAATAATAATAATAATAATAATAATAATAATAATAATAAAAAGCCTGTGCTCCATTCTTGTCTATGATAAAAAAAATAAAAAAACATAAAAGAACATTTTTGTGCACTAGAGATCTGACCAATATATGTGTGACCAAAATGTGTATTTAGGTGATAAAGTATAAGACTTAAGTTATGGCCACAATTAAGTTCTAAGGAGAAGGCTTATATTCTAAGAAAAATGAATTAAATATTAGTTTTTTACTTAAACATACAGGGAGAGTAATTCAAAGAGCTTTACAGCAAAGGCAAGAAAATAGAACAATTTAAAAAAAGACAGAATTACACTTGTGAAATACTGCATTAAAATATGTTGAAATTCCATACATTTATTACATATAAATTACACAACAATGTGGCTGAATATTTAAAAAAAAGTATTACTTTCATGCCACAATATTGTTATAGCTTTCTTTTGAGTTAAAACATCCTTAGGGGGTATTCTAAGAAAATATTGATATATGTAATCAATTGTGATTAAATCAGCAAACAGGCAAATATTGTATTACTGCCACTGCTTAAAGTCTTCATGCCTAATGAAAACGTCTATAGCTCCGCCCCTTTTACTTTGTCTGGAAGGAGACAAGTGGAAAAAAACAGCCACAGAGAAACAAACAGATCTACAAACAAGACAGCAGAGACAGAGGAGCAGAGCCGATGAGCACGAAGGGTTAACTGAGGTGGAAGCCACAGCCAATCAAAGCCAACCTGTGTCTGATAGACAGCCGTCCAAAGAACTGTAAAAGGAGGAGATTTGGTCCACAGTGCTTCCCTCTGTCTCTCTTCTCTCATTACACACTTCTACATTGTCCCTCAAACCTGAGACGTGATGTCCACCGAGCCTCGAGGAGAAGCCTGCAGAGAAGAGAACTTTTAAAAAGCTCCAGAAGAAGAATCTGCAGAAACAAGAACACCATGAGCAACGATGGGATACCAGAGAAGAAGAGACCTTAACTTTGGGATATGAGTTCCTTCAATGCAACGTGAGGAGGATAAGATGATCTGATGTCAAACAAACGTCCAGTTTGAGTCGAAAAAAGACGTCATGTCTCCTGCTAAAGGAACCGGTGTCTTGGCTCTTTTCCACAGTGCCATGATAGTGATTGCACTGGTGAGTTTAATCTACTTATCCTGAGCGCTTTGGTGATTGCATTGTTGATTACTTCATTGATTGAATGGGTTTCACAACTATTGTTTTTTATTTACTTTCCTCTATTTGATTAAGTTTATCGACACATTTTTTCCAAGCATGGAGGGAAAAATAGTTTCTTTGCATTTACTTTTGGTCCCCGAAAACAAACACGAATATTTGCAATCCCATTTTATTTTTTGTATTTATGATTTGTGCAACAAAGTTCTATTGGATCCTATTTCATTAGATCTTATTTGTATTGGGAATCTCCTCCTTAAATGAAACAAAGCAGCAATTCAATGCTCAGTCTTAACAAAGGATTCGTTTTTATATTCTACATTTAAGCTTTTCACACAGGAGCTTTATATCTTACACTATAACATGACTGAGACAGAAATAATCCTCCCAAACTTCTGCACTTTGGGACAAATATAGAAAATGTCATGTATCTGTGACTGAAAATGTGCCAGCTATTCACAAGCAACACTAACCATAGAGAGTAGAGTGGTTCTTCTTTTTTTAACAAGTGAGGGGATAGCGAATCGTTTTTTTTAGCAGTATGGACCCTTTAACTAAATGCCTAACTAATACCATAGAAATAACAACAAAACTAATATAATTGTAGGATATTTTGCCTCTACATTAGTGAAGTGACTGATAATAACTAGGGAATTGCACAGGTAACTCACACTAAAGTGCAGAATCTCCACAATAACAAATCACCTGTGTTCTGCTTTACCTCACCTCCATCCGGGTGACCCCTTTAACCTTTCACCCTCTGAAGGGTGATCCCCCTGCAGCTCCCAGACCACCGTCGCCTCTGAGCGCCGTCTCTTTATCTTCACCGGGTCGATCCTGAGTGTCGACCTCAGGCAGAATTACAACCTCCTGCTCAGTCAGCCCGAAAATCACTTCACATGAAGCAGAGGTCTGAGAGAGCAAATTCAATTATGACACAAAGGAGAGCTGATTGTTTTGCTAACACTCCCTGTCCGTCAGCACAAAACCCTCCTGTGCAACGAAAGGGAACGACTTCTCCGTATTGACTTGCTTGTATTCATTTATGGGGATGTTTTGTCGAGGCCGTCTTTGTTTAACATAAAACTACCAATATCTAATTGTGGGCAGAAATTATCGACAAGTGTTTTAATGGGATTGCCAACACAGCCAGGGTGTGTCCACAGTCCACAGTACAAAAACAAGTGGATTCATCTGAATTCTCTGTATTGACTTTGGCTTCAAGTCCCCTCCCAAAACAAATCACTGTAAGGAATGAGTGATACAATACTGAAAACAGTGCTCACCCATTGACGGTTTATTTTAAAGGTTTATGCCAAGAATGTTAGTTATCACATATCCATCAACATGAAAAAAAGTTTCCAGTTAGTCAGTTTAACGTGTTTTTTTCCAGGAAGATAGCGGTGCAGGAAGTGCTCAAATCCTTTGCCTAAAGTTACAATTTGAAAGATTTGCACTATCTTTTCTTTATAAGTGGTAGTTGCAGGTGGATCTCAAGTCCTATAAATCAAAACAGTGTGCACCCCTTGTGATTTTTCCCAGGATTATTTCCACAGACACCCAGTTCATCAGTGGGCCATGAGCTCAAACCCCATGGTACCTCATTCAGCGATAGATAGAGATTATGGTTTTAAAAGATTAAATAATTACAGAAAATAATAAATACAAGTATATATTCAACTTCTAGATTTAGAATCCTATTTAAAGGAATATTCTATTCACAACATGATCATTTGAATATACATTTCTCACAAATCTCAAGAAAGTATTTTCTCTCGCATGGCTACATCGGGAAACTGAAACTGTCTTGAAGAATTTAAGTAAATGGGTTTAACATCAACTCTGATTGTGATGTATCACCCAAGTCTCATTTATCAAGTCAAATGCTCACTTCTTCCATGTGCATTTTTGCTAAACCTTGAAAAACTGATGGTGCATTCACACTGAATGTGAATTTAAGATTTAAGTAGATATCGTTCGTGTCATTCCTGCTGCCTGTCCGTTGGCTCCTTTGTATTGAGCCTAAAGTTGTAAGTCTCAAAAATGAAAGTGCTCAGTCTTCTGAAAAACAGCCCTTATGATGGATAACGTTTATATATTACGTTATGAGATGCTTCTATTCATGCAACTTAACTATTCTACCTCTTTCCAACTGTTGCCAAGTATCTTTCTTTGAATCTCTCTGCCTAATCGCTTCTCTCACCGCCCTCTTCTGTCGGTCAAAGGATTCTCATGTGATTTCTGTAGTTGCTAGTTTTGCTGCTCTGTTGTGAAATGTAGCCGCCAACACAGAGCTGCTTGTGTGGAGCGGCTCTCACCGGCATGGCCGAGGTCTCGAGGTAAAGACCCCCATGTGGCGAGTGGCCGCCCCTCCGCTGGAAAAAAAACAGTTTGCGAGGGATCACGACATACCGCACTCTCACAAAACTATTTCACAACACCTGGAGGCAGCACATTAGATCCTCTGGAGGTTCTGCGGCTGACACATCGCCTTGTAGCTGGGAAAATACTTCAGAGGGACTTTTAATCTGTGGGTTTTCAGATGCTTTATTTGAGTAGCCTAAGGTAGGCCTACTAATGTCACACTGGGAAAATCCTACATTTAAAGGTGGGGTAGGTCATTTTGGAGAAACCAGCTCGAGTACGCTAGAATTTGAAAGTACACAACCGGAACAAATCTGCCTCTTCCTTCAGACTTCCTTACAGAGTCCAACACACACGAACGCGCACATGACCAATGAGGGCATGAGATACATTTGTGCACGAGATGGAAGGCTGACAGGCAGGTAGGCCATCCAGTTATTTTAGCTGGGCCGGCTAAAATGATTGGTCGTGCTTTTTACAGCGCTACGGCTTCAACAGATGACATTTTTTTATGTATTTATTGTCAAAGTATTTAATATATTCATTGCTATCGGGATGTTAAGAGCATTCCATGGAATATAACAAAAAGTGTTTCTGAAATAAATTACATACCCCACCTTTAAATCGTTACCTATAAGTAAAAGTATGTAAGCAGGCAGTAGTGAAAGAAGAACTAGCCTGCTGCCTATGTTAATAAAGTAAAAGTACTCATCATACCACAGTGTAGAAGTAGATATACTCTGTTTAAGTCTAATATCCAACATTTTACTTGAGTAAAAGTATGAAAGTATGAGTGTCAGAATATTCTTAAATCACAAAAGTAATTCTATTAATTCTGCACACCAACCCATTTCCGATTGTGGGTTGCTAGTGGTCTAAACGGCGGATAAACTGTGGTGCGCTTCCACAAATTTTGCGCGGCATAAACGCATAATAGTGCGCCGCATTTGCGCTTCAGATGAGGAGGTGAGGACCCCTCATAACTGCATGAACCCGTATGGCACAATACAACTCAGTACATTTTATACCCTTTCTTTAGTAGAATTGTATACATTGGCTAACTAGGTATCAGCTCGTCGGTGATTTGCAGCCCATGCATGCGTGGTGGTCGGAATCTGCTTTTTGTGTACTTTCGGGTCCATAATGTGGCATTTTTGGCAGATTTACTAAAGGTGTGCAGCTGCTGCTCTGAGGACAGATCAGGCTTGATTTGCAATGGGCCCTAATGGAGACATGTTGAACGTTTTTGTCACTTCATGCCCTCAGAAGGCATTTTGTTTAATTTTTTTTCTTGATTTTTAGAGAGGTTTTCCTACTTTTTTCACAATAAATTATGTCCCAGGAGTGTAGGGTTTGGGAATTATGGCAGTTTTAAAAAAAAAAATTTCAAGCTCTCCTCCACTCTAGCTGTGACATCACACACTCTAGCCTTTAACGAGCTGCGCAATACACACTCATGTTAAAATCTGAAGAAGGCCTCTTTACCAAGCTCCAAACTAAGTTAAATATCTCAAAAAGTATAAAGGTCAAAAACAAGAAAAGCCATAGCACACATGTCCTGAAGGAGCTGAACATTTTAATATTTGAATGGTTTCTGTAGCTGAAAGTATGTGGAAGGAGTAGCATTTGGCGCAAGGTGTAGGTAAAAGAGGATTTGAAGGTTCCTCCCATTGAGTTACATGTTAAAAAAATAGTTTAAAAAGCTGAATATTTCAAAAAGTACAACATATTTTGAAAAAGTTGAAAGTTTCCCATCATGTGCTGAAAAGGCTGAATAGTTTGATATTTGAATGGTTTGTGGCTGTTGCACAGCATTCACACTAATTATAGATGATACGTTATTTGTTGGTTATATACTGTAGTGGCGTACAAATATAATGTAGCAGCAAATGGAAATGCTCAATTAAATTACCTCAAAATTGTACTTAACTAACATGTTCCCCGTCACTTCAATAACTTTATTGCATCTTTCTCTACAGATCGACTCTGATGATGTCATCACCCGAGATGAGCAGATCTACGTTCTGATTGGTGCTCACGCCCGATGTGAGAGGAACATCCAGGCACAGTTGGCCCTGGTTCAAGGTTAGCGTGCTTTTTTGTATAATTGTATCCATTTAAATTAGGGACAGGACAGTGCTCAATGTAGTTATCATGTCATTAAAAAGACTATATGAATAAAATGTAAACCTTTCCATAACATTACTTAAACATTTTGAATATGTTGAGTTTGCCAATAAAGTCAAAGAGTTTTTGTTATCTTTTAAAATATTTATTTCTTAATAAGCATACCAATTGTTACTATGAAAACAGAAGAGGTCAGGGAGTGCATGTCCAAATATGTAATCAGAAACTGTATTTATTACATCAATTATTTATTTTGGATCAGATATGGCACCCATCCAATATCCTGCTGAGCAGTATCTCTGTGATTAACAGAGATGAATTTGGGTGCAGACAAAAGCAGGTCATTTTTCATTCATGCTACTGATGAATTGTTTGAATGATCTATTTGGAGAGGAAGATGGAGCCCACAGTCTGAAGAAAAGTAATGTCCAAGTGAGGCGCAGCAAACATCAGATCCACAGATATCATACAAAATCCTCCAATATAAAACTATAACAATAAAAGATTTGACAGTATATATTTTAGGAAACCATAAGACGTGATATTTTCTTCAATCATAACTAGGGCTGCTCAATTAATCGTATTTTAATCGCAATTACGATTTTGGCTTGCAACGATTATAAAAACAACATAATCGAAATAAAACGATTATTTTTTTTATTTTTTTTTTTTATTATTTTTTTTTTTTTTTGGTTTTTCAGTTGAATTATACTTAAAGTTCAGGGTAATCAACTGTTAAAAACATACTGTTCAAATGTTTTTCTTTCAATAAATGGATGTTTTCAAAGTAAATGGATAATCGTTTTTAATAATCGTGATATCAATTATTGACCCAAATAATCGAGATTATGATTTTTGCCATAATCAAGCAGCCCTAATCATAACCATTCAAACCTTTTTTGAGATACTTTACTGGAGTATTTCCATGTAATGCTACTTGTTTCTTCAACTCCATGTCACATGAAAATATTAAACATTTTACTGAACAACATTTAAATAACAGCTCCTTTTTAATATTTCAGATTAAAGTTTTCACCCAAAACATGACAACACCAGAAGAGTGCACTAGTCATGATGCTTTTATACAGATTGAACTACCCAACAGTATCTAAAGTGGTCAAATGCAGCTATATTTGTCTAGTAATTCAAATTAAATGCTGCTTACACGTCAATGGATCAAATAAATACTCATTGAATATGAAGGAAAGCTCAAACTTGATCTTTACCTGTCTAACAGCTGTGTTCCTTTATTTGTGAAGAAGGTGACTGTGTCCCCGAGTGGGACGGGATCATCTGCTGGCCGCGGAGCAGGGCGGGTCAGCTGGTGTCAGTGCTGTGTCCAGAGTACATCTACGACTTCAACCACAGAGGTGGGTCAGCTGAGGAAACACTTACATGCAGGAATAATGATAGAGCAGCTTAACAAGGAGGAAATAAACGTTATTCAAATGAAAAATTACACTATTGCTAATGTTTTGCACTCATGTAGGACAAGCTTACCGACAGTGTGACGTGTCAGGAAACTGGGAGCAGGTTGCCAGTATCAACCGCACTTGGGCTAACTACTCCGAGTGCACCACATACCTGACCTCCAACCACAGGATTCAAGAGGAGGTACGCACATGTGTGTTTGTCTACATACAAAGAGTGTTTGTCTATGGATTTTGACGGATTTTGAAATCTTCAGTGTTGCAGAATACTGCTGTTTAACAGTGTATTCAGATCCGTAGTACCAAACTGTGCAAATACTATGTTCAAAATCTAAACACATCTGGAATACATGGTTTTTACTGGACACGGAAGCAATGGAAAACTGGAATCTCAAGTTGACTAAAGTTGATAAATGCATGGTAAAAAGTACCGTATTTGCTGTTGAGATGTTGTAAAGTAGAATAACAGTATAAAGCCGCATAAATTAGTAATACCTCAGCACCTAGACATACCTGAGGCCTGTACTACGAAGCTGGTTCAACCTAAGTGTACAACCTAAGCGTACTGACAGCGCAGCGTCATACTTCCTGAATGAAAAGTGAACTTTAATATTAGTCAAATATGAAGAAGTTAAACTTTAAACATCCATGACTTAAACACTTTATCCAGGATAAAAGCCACATAGCTGCACCTGCAAGGTGAATACAGCTGGTAAAAGAAAAAGTGTTTGAATGCGTACATTAACAGGTTTATGAAATCACTGCCCCGTCCAAGACACGAGTGGATCTGACTTTAATTACATTTGACTCGAGTGTTTCGTCAACTTAATGTGTTGCTTAAAATAATACTTCTGCATACAGTATGTGACACTGTGAGTGTTGCACGGCCAGATACGGCTCAAGAAGCTGACTCAAATAAGGAAATATATAATACATTATGATGTGATATGATATGAATGATAATGGGACACATCGACGTCTGCACTCACAGTGCCGCGGACTGTACTTAATGTTACTTTGATCCGGTTACTTATGTCGTGGCAGATATTTAAGTAAGCTTTCTTAACGCTAATATTATAATAGTCAGATTGCTCTGAAGATGGGAGGGCATATTCTATTAATTTTCACGTTCACACAGTCAGTTGATTTTGGCCGGCCGTCTTTCCTGCAACGGCAGTTTTTCTGTATTTCCTCTATCCTGTAATATTAATTGATCGCTTTAAACTCCGCACACGGAGCTCTGATTGGTCAGCAGGCAGTGCTTTCACTGAGTTGATCTCTTAGCCTGCCACCTAACCTGCTCCGGAGCAGGTTTGCCGCTCAGCATAAGTTACCATGGAAATCTAGCCTGCTAAAAAGAGAACCAGCGTCGTAGGACCGGAAAGCCCGAGATTTCCCTGAAGTTAGCCGGCTAAGCGAAAATCCAGCTTCGTAGTACAGGCCTCTGGTGTCTGTTGCGCACTATTAACCATGTTTTTGTTTTGCTTCAGAAGGTGTTTGAGAGACTCCACCTCATGTACACTGTCGGATATTCCATTTCTCTAGCATCACTGTTGGTAGCCGTCTCCATCCTCTGCTATTTCAAGTGAGAAACATTAACACATCTCTTCAAAAAGCATCGGTATTCACAGTCTATTGTCTACATCATCAATAACATACAAGTCAAAATATGTGTCTTTAACCCTACAGGCGGCTCCACTGCACACGCAATTACATCCACATTCACCTCTTCACCTCCTTCATAAGTCGGGCAGTCAGCATTTTTGTGAAGGACACCGTGCTCTACTCCATATCTGAAGACAGAGAGGATGACTTCAATGCATTGAAGCCCCCTATGGTGAACAATGTGTTTTTAATATTTATAACCATTTATTCTGTTAACACCATAACTGTGCTGACAGCACACCGTCAAACTATTCCTTTATTATAAACAGAGCTAATAGACTTTGCATGTTTTATGGCATGTTGATGTTTCCTTCTTCTTTGTGTCCTCAGGCCGGCTGTAAAGCGGCCGTCACTCTCTTTCTTTATTTCCTGGCGACCAATCATTACTGGATCCTGGTGGAGGGGTTGTATCTTCATAGCCTCATCTTCATGGCCTTCCTCTCTGACAAGAACTACCTGTGGGCCCTCACCATCATCGGCTGGGGTGAGCTGCATCAGACCAGATACTCTGCTGTCTTACAGTGGATTAAACAGACTCACATTATCCTAATATCTCTCTCCGCTCGTCCCAGGTGTTCCAGCTGTGTTCGTGTCTGTCTGGGTCAGTGCTCGAGCATCGCTGGCGGACACACAGTGAGTCTTGTGATGCTTTTCAGTGTCTTATATTACCACAAAGCTGTGTCATAATTCCTCACGTTTCCTTTTTTCTTTCTTTGCTTTCAGATGTTGGGACATCAGTGCAGGGAACCTGAAGTGGATCTATCAAGTTCCCATTCTGGCAGCCATTGTTGTAAGAAAAAATACTTTTTCAGACTACTGTGTATATGGTAAATACCTTTTACACTTGGGTTGATTCTAACTGCGGCCTTACTGTACACCTCTGTCCATACAGGTGAATTTTCTCCTCTTTGTTAATATAATACGTGTACTGGCCTCTAAACTGTGGGAAACAAACACTGGTAAATTGGACCCTCGGCAGCAGTATCGGTAATATTTATTTTACTTTGAAATTCTACTGAAAATGTTTAATACACATCCATCATTCTACACTATAGTTTTTACAAATGTTAAAAAACGACATGAATGTTGTGCTGTTTATCTTCAGGAAGCTGCTGAAGTCCACATTAGTCCTCATGCCGTTGTTTGGAGTTCACTACATGGTGTTCATGGCTCTCCCCTACACTGAGGTCACAGGGCTGCTGTGGCAGGTTCAAATGCATTACGAGATGTTCTTCAATTCATCTCAGGTCAGAAAACACAATTATAAACTCTGCATAGAATGCTGTGATTTAATGGTTAATTCAAGCTTCTATTATGACTATGATTAAATAACTTATATTGAAATGCTTTAAAAAAGCATTAGAGTGCTAAATCCAGAAATATTATCTCAGGGTTGTACTATGAGGCAACATTTCTGATATCCTAAACTCGTGAAAAAAATGTTTCAAGGATTTATATTTATATGTTATTTTAACACATTTCAAGTGTGTGTTATTACATTTGAATAAACAATACACTTATTTGCTTTTTGCCAACTAAAATATATATACCACACATGGTCTGTGTGGTAAACATTGCGTTTCAGCCAGCAGCTGTTAGCTTAGCATAAAGACTGTGCCATGATGTTCTGTTTTTTAACTAAATCACATTTTTTTCAGGGCTTTTTTGTGGCATTCATCTACTGTTTCTGCAATGGAGAGGTAATGAATCAGGTACTTTTGAAAAGCAGATGTACTCTAATAATAAATGAAACAAATATAACTTTCTGTCTGTCTCCCTCCTTCTGTTCTCAGGTGCAGGCGGAGGTAAAGAAGGCGTGGTTAAGACGCAGCCTCGCTCTGGACCTCAAGCAGAAAGCCAAGATGACCAGCAGCGGAGGCAGCTGTTACTATGGCGGCATGATGTCTCACACCACCACACATAGCGTCAGTCTGTCTGCTGCCAACCCCCGGGCTCTGTCCTCAGGAGGAGCCTCGGGCAGCGGGGCAGGGGTCAGGCCGCCACGCCACGGCTCTTTCCACCCGCAGAGCAGCCTGCCTGGATACGTGCCCGGTGATGCTGAGACCCCCGACCCCCAGCAGGAGCTGCCAGTGAGGAAACCATCCGGGACGGAGAAGGGAGTTTTTGCTAGGCACACCAGAGCCAGCAAGGAAAATCATGACAGCACAACTCATGGAGCACCTGAGGCACAAAACCCAGGAGCAGAAGATCCAGACAGCAGCTTATCTCTGAAAGAGCTGGAGACCATCCTGTGAATGTTTTCAGTATTTGAGAGATGAGCATAAACGAAGTTTTGTAAGACTGAGGACCTACATGACATTTTTAGGTTTTCTTGTGTTGGGATTGTTTTGTCAAGGTCATTATTTATACAACAACTGTGTGTGCGTGTGTGGAGAGAGAGAGAGAGAGAAGAGAGAGAGAGAGAGAGAGAGAGAGAGAGAGAGAGAGAGAGAGAGAGAGAGAGAGGAGAGAGAGAGAGAGAGAGAGAGAGAGAGAGAGAGCGCGACAGAGACACAGACACACACACAGAGACAGACACACAGAGACAGACACACAGAGACAGAGACAGACAGACAGACACCACGGCCCCATGACTTTATGTCACATCCATTAACCCTAAGGGCAGTCTAGTTTACGGTATAAGGAAGTTAAGTCTCATATTGTGTGAGACATTTAAAAGGAATGGGGTATTTACTGACACATTTGATGTCTTGGACCAAAACATTAAAATATCTGAAGCTTGTGTTAACCACAGACCTTTTCTCAGGCATCTAACTAAAAACTAGGGCTGTCAAGTTAACGCGTTAATGACGCGTTAACGCAAAAAAAAATTAACGCCACTAATTATTTTAACGCGATTAACGCATGTGTATTTTTTGTCCTCGGCCGCCCCGTAGTTTCAGAGCGCATCGAGTTTAAAATACCATCTACAAGCTGATGCTGACAGCCCCGCTCCTGCCGCCCGCTTGTGGCAGACCACACTTCCACGCTCACCGGCAGGCCCGGACAGGCCATCGGGAGGACCGGGAGGGTGTGTATGTGTGGGGCGACTCGCGCGAGCGAGGCACACCTTACGTGTTGTTGTTGTTAGCATCTGGTGCTAGCTAGCTGCGCTAACGGATATAAGGAGCTGTTTCAATGACATTTCGCCGACAACTGCGCCGAGCACTTGACTTTATGCAGTCTGCAGCCAGACAGTGGGACATTGTACGAAAAGTCAGCACACTCAGCACGGATAGTGCGCGCAACATGATTGCAGCTCCCGTTCGAGCATTATGCCTTGAGCTGCACATACTGTAGCTCCAACGATCCATATCAGTGTCTCCACACACACACACACACACACACACACACACACACACACACACACACACACACACACACACAGTATTATTGTATGAGAGAGGTTCCAGGTTGAATTGAGGCGAATATTTGTAATGTTCAGAGGTTGTTGTGTTTAATATTCATGAGAATATTTGTCATTGTTCAAATGATAATAAACAAACATATAAAGCATATTTGTCCACTCATATGTTGATAAGAGTATTAAAAACTTGAAAAATATCCCTCTAAGGTACATTTAGAACAGATACAAAATGTGCGATTAATTTGCGATTAATCGCGATTAACTATGGACAATCATGCGATTAATCGCGATTAAATATTTTAATCGACTGACAGCCCTACTAAAAACACAAAACATTTAATGCTAACTCTTTTCCAGACTTTAAGACTAATTACTGCAGAACTCTATATAATTATCATTCAGCAGTGTCCAGACAGCTTGTCTAGACAGCGTATGTCTCTCTGTTGTTGTCAATATTGTAAATACAGCCATATTTATCAGCCTGACTGGACCCTAAGGGCTGACACAAACCTTCTGCCCCTCGCAGGCCAACCCCCAGCCCCTTCCTCCCTGTAACCTCTGCCCCGACCGCCCTCACAACACCGTCCAGAATTTCACACTTTGTCCTCAGGATCTGACTTCGAGCTTCAAGAACCTGAGCTCTTTAAAGACCTTGAGCATGAGTGAAAAAACCTGCTGAACAAGGTAAACACACAGGAAATTGAATCTGTACATATTTCAGGGCCGGTTATAAAATAGAGAAAAATATAAAGCGTAAGATTATTTAAGTTTTTTTTTAGGAGTATGCATTGAAATGAGAAAAGTGAATCAAATAAAACTGAACTAAAATGAATGGGGGTGATTTATTTACCACTTGTTAGCCCTATGTGCTATGTGTTTTCAAGGCAATGCACACATTTACGGCATACTGGTACTTCAGGATGTAAAAGTAGAATCAAAAAGGGGTCTTCATTTTATCTGAATTGTAAAAAGAAATCCCTACACAAAATGAACTTTCAGAGGGTTATAACTTAAGTTTTTTCAGTTTTCTTAATTCTGTATTTTACCTTTATTTAACCAGGTACGTCCTATTGAAGTTTGATACCCGTTTTTAAAGAAAAAGCTTTCCAAAGACAACCAAATAAAGGTTACAAACAACACAATAAAAGATTAAGAGATTAGAGAGATTAAGATTTAATGTCAAGAGATTAAAGAATGTGATATAAACAGAAAGGCTATAAAAGGCAAAATTAAGAATGCGATTTTAAATCATGTAGTTAACAATGGTCATCACGTCTGCCAGAGATATCCGATTCATTTCTTTGATTTCCTCCTGCAGACTATCTCTATAAGTGGCTGGAGCAGAACACCTGGAGGCTTTGTCTCCTCTCTGTAGGGACAATATGGTGAGACACTGTGTACAAAAGAGGTTTCACCGTTACTGGAGGCAATAATGAGAAGTATAAAGCTCAGTGTGGCTCAATATGACAATTCCATAGTGGATACATATCCTCAACGTTCTGAAATACATGAGCCGAGAAAGATGTGAATACACTAACATGAGATATATATTCTTAGTGCATACATTATTTGTATCCTCTGCTGCTGCAATTTTGTTCATCCTTTCCTTTTTGTTTAGATGTCTGTGAGTCATCAAAAGCATGGACTTCTAAGCAATTAGAAAACATACGGAATAAAGCTCTGCCCCCTGTTGAAAAAAGGAAACATTACAAGGTAAAATGTCCTCACTGGTTTACGCCCAAGATATAAGTCAACATACATAAACTAATTATCAAGCAATATTTCTGTGTGCACTGTTTCTGACTTTCCCATAAAACCCTAAAGGCAGAACACATTCCCTTTTAGACAAAAATCCCATGTATAGTCAATGTAAACAATAAAATAAAAGCACAATAACTTTAGAACAGAGTTTGACTTGCTTATCATTCAGGCATTTAGAATAAGGTTATCATGATACTGAAGGAAATGGGATTAGTTTTTAAGTAGTAATAGAGAACATACCAAACTCCAAGCACATGGACTTAAAGGTGGGGTAGGTAAGTTTGAGAAACCGGCTCGAGATACACTTTTTGTTATATTCCATGGAATGCTCTTAACATCCCGATAGCAATGAATATCTTAAGTGCTTTGACAAAAAATCCATACAAAAATGTCATCTGTGGAAGCCGTAGTACTGTAAAAAGCACGACCAATCATTTTAGCCGGCCCGGCTAAAATAACTGGATGGCCTACCTGCCGGTCAGCCTTCCATCTGTGCACAAACTTATCTCGTGCCCTCATTGGTCATGTGCGCGTTCGTGTGTGTTGGAGGAGGGGCTCTGTAAGGAAGTGGCAGATTTTCTCCGGTTGTGTATTTTCAAATTCTCGAGCCGGTTTCTCAAATTTACCAACCCCACCTTTAAGACATATCATCGCAGTAATTCAACATTTGTCAGATTTGAATATAACTAATTTAATCTAACAGTACATAACAAACAAATAACTGTGACTCCTGTTAAACGCTTGACATACGTTTGCCCTAAAATGTGCTCTTCCTTACCCATACCATTCCAAAAATGGATCCGAAAATATTTTATGATAAAAAATGGGCCCATACATCATCTTGTATATCAAGCAATTCAACCTGAATCACATTTTCTATATTCTATTCATGGACACTTCTAGTTTATTCTGCTTATAAGAGATATGCCCTCTGATTGTCCTTTGAGATTACAGACTAAAATTGTATATTTCACAGCTCTGGTGTGAAAACAGAAATATAAAGCATCCGAACATATGGAGCGCCAGACACAGATATGCATGAGTGATTGCTCCTCCACCAGGACAAACAAAAAAAACACCAACCCCCACCAGCAATGTATGGTGGCAACCAGCTGTCAGCTCATTAGAGAGGAAAGGTTGGGGGGCAAAGTGTCCACATAATGACACCGTACAGCCGAATCGGGATCCAGACATCATTAGCAAGAGGGTGAAGGAAAAGGAGAGAGGAGGAGAGGCTGATGGGAAATGACAGGAGGAGGAAATGATCCAGCATGATGACTAGAGGTGATGATGTCACTCTCATTGTACTGTAAACCCATTTTCAGAGGCTGTTATTGAACAGGAAACTTAACGCTCAGTCACATGATCACATGGTTATACATTATGTGCTTCGTGGCCTTAAAGAGAAAGTGTGGTTCATAAAACAAAATGCAATTTTGGGAGCTCTTTATTTTGCAGAACAGGACAACACATACAGTATATCATAAATATGCTTTAAATAAACGTAAATAAAACACCATTGAAAACATGTCACAATATAATCAATAAATCAATAATGAATTATTGTTATAGGCTATTTTTGATTGTCAAAATGTGTAATATTTGTTTCACTTAAATTTGATTTAGTTTTTTATATTACCTTTCATTCAAGTCTAAATGTTGTTATTTGTCATGTTCAGTCTTTTAATGTAATCATTTTTATTTTCTGTTTTGCTTTGTCTGTTTCATTTAGTTTCTTCATTTAGGCATGATCCGTCTTTTGTTTTATTTATTTTTTCAACATACTCAGTCTTTTAATTGTATTTATTTCCCCGACATGTTAAGTATTTTTATTTATAATTTTTTTCTTCATCATGTTGAGTCTGCATGACGAGCCCATGACGTCATGTTGAAGTCATAAAGTAGGCGGGGTCAGAGAGAGAGAGCAGCAGATGTAATGCGAGTCCTCTGTGTATGAGAGTAATAATAAACCCCACATACTGCATGTTCCGGTGTTTCTGATGCCTCAGGCTGTGTATCCTCCGGCGTAAGACGAAGCACCAGCTGCCGGCAGGAAGCAGCTTCCTCTCCGGCCAAGAGTGCATGCGGAGGGCCGGTGGCCGACAGGGAGGGGTCCTTTGATTTCAGGGCTTCCTCCTCCTGGATGGAGCCCGGCTGTGTGCAGCCAGCGA